ACTCGGTGATGAAAAAAGTGAGCATCTGAAATGCCTTAGATAGGCACTGTCCCCTTTGTTGGATCGAACTTGTACGCGCACCGAAGGAAGGGAGCGCTTGGGCCAGTTTTCATTCGCTTTCATTAGTTCTTCCCCTTATTGATGCACTCTCACAGTTCGTAATGAAGAGAGCGAGTAGCGGAACACCCGAACTACCAGAAAGTCTCTGGAAATCAACGTTAGGTGTTGGGGAGGCCTCTTTAAGAAGGAGCTATACACTCTAGTTCGCCAGGGACGGTTGGGCGTGTCAGGCAGTATGAGTGTGTCACGCCGTCAAAGCCGTTCTCTGCCTTCTTGTTGAAGCGCGCATGCGACAAAAAGTGGTAGAAAACGAGTAATACGAACGATATGATACAGTCATATCACTTGCTCGCTTTAACAACTGGTGGAGAACGGGTTTGGCACCGCGCCAAACTCATCCCGCCTGACACGCCCAACCGTCCGCAGCGAACTACACTGTATTGTTATCACCTACTGTTTAACCGCTACAGCGACATAATCTCTGTGCTTGCAGGCAAGACTAACTTTGTGCGCAATAAACGAACGCGGAACGTATCTTTAAGACTTGCGAAACATCAAATATCCATTTGATGAGTGTAAGATCACGTCACTGCTACATCAGCATTGCGAAGACACGGCAGATGCAAGGTAGCAAGCGGTTTCACATCCGCGAGATTCGCACAGGGGCCTATCCGCTTTAAAATGGGATGCAGTAGCATGTAGTCAATTAGCTTGGAAGTAGGTTGCCAATTTCTTCAAACTGCAACAAAGAGCTAATGCTGCGTTTATACTTTGCGGCAGCGTAGCGCTTCCAGCGTACGCCAGCGGCAGTGTCGGGGAAAGGATAGATATCGATCTAGCGTTCCCAGCGTTTCACAGCGTTTCGCTAGCGTTTGCAGCGGCGGGGCTAGAGAGTATAGAAGAGTAGGAGAGTGTAATACTCTCCTACGCTAGAGAGTATAGAAGAGTAGGAGAGTACAAATACTCTCCCACTAGAGAGTGTAGAAGAGTAGGAGAGTACAAAATACTCTCCTACTCTTCGATACTCTCTAGCGTAGGAGAGCATTTTGTACTCTCCTACTCTTCTATACTCTAGCGTAGGAGAGCATTTTGTACTCTCCTACTCTTCTATACTCTCTAGCCCCGCCGCTGCAAACGCTAGCGAAACGCTAGTGAAACGCTGGAAGCGCTACGCTGCCGCAAAGTATAAAGCAGCCTAATGTTCTCTACTTACAGCTCGATAAAGATGCAATGTATGCAAGTTCAAGTAGCCACCACAAACTACTCAATTATGGGTAAAAGTCTTGACCACAGGCGGGACTCGAATTAAAAGCTGGAATGGCAAGAGCGGCTCTGATGGCGTGACGGATAGCGCAGTCGCTCCAAAAACCGCGGGACGCGGGGTTCAAGCCTCCTGCAGTCAAGAACACAGCCTATAACTCACCACTCTTCTGGTTATTTTCGATGAGCGAAATTAATTCCGGAGCAAAACAAAAGCGTCAAACCGCAGTGATCATTATAAAACAAGACCAGGTGATCATGTCGAGTAAAACTATTAGCGGATCATGAACACACCTTCTCATCAAGTGAATACTGGAAGAAGTGCATTATTAGTTGGTATCGGCTAAGTAAGTCAAGGTCTGGACAGTCGTCGCCAGTCATCATGTCATAGAAACGTTTTTGAACCGATTCCCAACTCACCTGAACAGCCATTCTAAAAATGCTTATGAAGTGTTTACTCCCATAAATATTATAACTTAAAAATAAACCCATAACTCAAATCAATAAGTAATATGAATGCAAACAGTATGACTTATGAGATGACCTAATGATGCAAAAAATTTTCAGGCAAGTAGTCGCCACTCAGGATGAATTTCAACCGCTAATTCGCTGTAGGGGGTAGGGTATTTTGTCAACTCCCGTCAACAAACAGAACACTTCGGAAAGCTTGGTATATTTTTGTTAAGCTATAAAATGCTCAGAATCTTTTTGTGAGATCAGAATCTCTAAATAAGCAAAAATACGCTAGGAAAATAGTGGAGATGGTCCGTGAAAGCAATTGTGACTCTGAGGGGCGTGAACCGCTCTGAAGTGGTGCAAATGAAATTATTACCATTCCGTAGCCTTATACCCTTACAAAGGATTACAAAAATGCTCGGCACTTTCACAGAATTTCACGTTCACAAAAATCTGCACCTCCCCTTCCTCCCCCCCCCCCCACCTTAACGCTCTCTTTGGCGACTTGCATGAAACTTCATTAACAAGTCTGAAAGAATAGGCGTTTGCGAGTTTACAGAACGCACTAGGTGCTATCTAACGACCAAACTTTTAAAACTGGATTTTCAGGGGTAAAAAACCCCCACCAATGTGAACTCTCTCCAAAGAGAGGCCAATTATAAGGTTATCATGAGGAATAAGTTGAAAATTCGAACGCAACTTCAACATCAAGCTCTTGCTAAGAAAAAAAAATATATGATGGAAAAGAGGGAATTCTGGAACTAACCGCAGTCTTGCTCAGTGAGCTCTGCACTCTGCTTATAAGCTCTTCGAGAAAATTTCGTACCTAAATTTTGTAGAAGTTTTTCATTCCAAGTGGACTTCAAAAACGGTGTTTCCAAACTTTTCGAAGATATAGTATACTATGAAAAATCACGAACTCACAACTGTCAAGTTGTAAGACGAATCCGACGACGAACATGTTACTGCTTCTTCTATTCGCAGCACTTCCCTGGAGTGGAAGTTCGCGTTCCATTTGAATCTCTGGGAGTATATATTGAAGAAAAATACTAAATACTTACTGATAGTCAATGCTATTAAGTTCGGAAGGTGACGGCGCTCGCTGATTCGTTTTGATCGCTATGGAAGATACTTCGTTAAGCACCTGTTCTCCTTCAACGCTTGTTTGCGCTTTTGGCATAGTCATGGTCTTGAGAGAAGCCTAAACGAAAAACTGCGGTGCAATCACGTCATCTTTCACTGAAGGACGGCTGAGGCATTCAGGTTTTGATGGTAGTGCATTTGGGAGGGATGAAAGTGGACCACGCAACAGGCAAAAATGCGAAGCAAGGATTAGGATTTTCGCCTAGAAGGGAAAGAATCTTGGGATGGATGAACCCATTCCTTTTTTAGAAGTGATACTTGTAAATACCTTACATGCTCTGCAGAACATTGAAGTACTCCCGTTACTCTCATAGCGCCCTATCGCATTAGACAGGCAGAAACCATGCTCTTCGACAAACTTCCCAGTGGGTGAGTGCACTTCACATCTCTAGTCGAAATTGGGGAATTCCCCTCTTGGCAATGCTGGGAATCTCTTACCGGTTGATTCAAACACTGGGCGAGGAGGAAGCAGAAGAGCAGCCTGCCGCGTGGTCCTCCCTCCCCAAAAACCTTAGCACCCATGTAACTAATTTCTAATGAAATTCTTGATAACCTCACGTCGATAAAAACGCTTTGGCGCTAAGTTATTTCGAAGGGAGGGGGGGGTGTGATCGGTCGATTATTTACTTGTTCCTCCTGTCTGAAGGGCATCCTACGACCAATGTGACCTCACACATTCTGAATTTTTACGCTTGATGAGTGGCTCACCCATCCTGGAGTCTCGTACTTTTCAATCCAATGCCCTAGCACAAACGCTGTTGGAGGGGCTCACAGCCGCGCTTTTGTCCCCCTTAACCAAGGCTTAGTCTTAAGTAGCGTTGAGTAGCGAGACTATGTTTTCAGCGGGGTCTTACCTCAGTTTACGCACAACTCAAACTTATCTCTTTGGATGCGTGATCCCTTTTTTCTCGTCCGCTGCCCTCGTTCTGTCTGCGCGAAGTAATTTTGCAACAGGACCATGTACAAAGTTCAAAATGTTACGTAATCCTCTACCTCGCAGACTGTCGATTGCGCTCTGAGTTCTGCCTCGGTTAAGGCAAGGAGGAAGGAGGCCCGATGGACAACCCCCCCTTCCCATCCGAACTGTGTTAGCGCTCGCAAAGTTCAAATGGTAAAACATTCGGAAGAGACGCGAGACGGTGACGCGTCAAAGTCCTATCCTTGGCCAAAGCACAGCGGCATGCTACGCCGCTCTTCAAGAGCAGGAAGACCCCCCCCCCACAATGACCGTACTTACTCTCCGGTATTGGGCGTGGATTAGCCGCTGTGCACATCCTACTCTTCCGGTGCACACTCTGATAGAATGTAGTGCAGCACAGAAAATGTCGCTAGCCGAGCTGGGGCCTGTCCCCGCTAACCAACAGTGCCAGAAGCAGCACAGAATAACAACTAGTGACATTGAAAGTTTAATTAACAGCGATGAAGGTGCTAACGTAGTTGGGAGGGGCCACGCGGCTCGCGGCGAGTGATGACTCATCGGCTCTTCACTCATCGGCATACTTGAAACGCGAATCTAGCAGCCAAATCAGAATAAAACAAACAAGATTCACCGGGAACTTGCTGAAGAATTCCACAGAAGCTAAAAATTTGATTTTTTGTAGTCAACAATAACAGTCAACGACAAACATGCAACAAAATTTTGTAGTTTAGGCAAGAACCTTGCAGCCTAAAACTGTTTCTTTGCACTTTTCAGTGTTAACTGTTTTAACTTTTGAATATAGCTAGGGCGAAGTTATATTCATGTCCTAAACACGAAATTACTTCTATTTTGCCGAGGAGGGAGCAGAAGAGCAGATGAGTCATCGCTCGCCGCGAGCCGCGTGGCCCCTCCCAACTACGTTAGCGCCGCGATGGATCCTGCTATGTTTCCATTCCCACTAAAAAAACACGTTTCACTAAATGACAACTTACTGGCAAATCGCTGACGCTTTCTTTTACGGTGTGAGGTTCCAGCTCATTTTTATTACTCGCTGATGAAATCCTGAAACGAGTGCAGAGGCATTTTAATTTCACGACAAGTACTACTTCATAACAAGAAAAATTGGGAGGTAGTACGAGGACATTGCGAGCCAGGAGGATAACGGTTGCTGCCAAGTGAGCTTCCTGATTAGTGGACAACTTCCCTACCCCTTCAAGGGAACATCAGACTTTTTCAGTCTCGAAAAAGCGAAATATGAAGGACTTACCTTTCCTGATCACAAAGACTGTGAACGAGTGACTCAAGTGTTCCCGTAACGGCCACAGAGTTCGGCCTTCCTTGCTGCAACCCTGGGGGACGGAGCGCAGGTGAATTTGAAGTACTGCGCTTAACCATGTGAAGAAAATAGCCGCTGCTGAAAGGCTAAGCAAGGAAGGTGTTTCAAAGCTTGAATAGCAGCCTACCAGATGTTTGGCGCCATTCTTTCCGTCACTTCGGGTAGGTGTAATTGCGTACGACTAGCAACTACCGTAGTTTTAGGCTAATGCCGTTTGGACTCCAGCAACTTCGGCACCGAGCTCATTTTTAAATTACCTAAGTCGCCAAACCCGCTGAAAATATGTACACAAGGGTTATTTACCATCCTGATTACAATTATGACACTCATTCTTGCTGGCGCCAAGGGATGACACTACGAGATGACACTACGATTACCTCTTGGGCTCAGCCTTAGCGGAGCGCAGGTAATCGTAGTGTCATCCATTAGCGCCAGCGGCAAGAGTGAATGTCATATTCGTAATCAGGATGTTAAACTACCCCTACATACAAGTTTTTAGCGGATTTGGTAACTTAGGCAATTTAAAAATGAGCTCGGTGCCGAAGTTGCTGGAGTCCAAACGGCATTAGCCGTTAGGCTTTCCTGCATGGTTTTCTTCATCACTGAGCTACGCGTGAATGACGTATTTCGCTAGGCATAATCAAACTGCTGCTGGCAATGGTTACAGGGCTTCTGTTAACCAGTATTCTCTCGCTTCAAGGCTTCAGCGGTGTTTTCCTGGCACAAGTTTTAGCCAAGCATTTGAAGGGACGAAAACAGGGAAGGGAGGAGGACGAACAAAGGAAGAAAGGGCTTCCCAGGAAGAAAGGGTCGAGATATCCCGCACGGCTATTGAGGTGCTCTGCGCCAAACTGATAGAACAATTTTTAATTCATTAGATTTGGACTTTACCCACAAATCATTAGGAAACTCCTCGGGAACACGGAAGCCCATGCTAGGCGGCAGTCTGTCACGAAACTCTAGAGCATCGTGATTCGGACATTTATCTTGTTCGAAGAATTTGTAACATGAGTTGCTTTGGCACAAGAATAGCCTAGCGATCGCGACCTCTGTATCACAAAGCGGAACACCGCCTGGTCCGACCTTCTTCCATGGCAGAAGAGGGCGTGCATATGACCCCTCCCCTATTTACTGGCTGTCAATATGTGTCTTCTGAGGGTGTGGTATGGGCTGTGATATTGGAAAGCCACGCAATCATCATCTTCAACTGAGTTTTTATCGTTCTTTGGATATTGTACAATTAGGGCAGCATTCAAAACGATTGTTCACTGAGCAAAGATTAGCAAGCCACTGTGAAGACAATTGTCTTGGATATTAACGTCTCAGGGAGGTACTGTCACAATTAAGACGTTCGCGGAGGTGAGACCCGGAAAATTGGTGTAGGTCTACCGGAGACGCGCCTGGTGGATATGTGCTTGGTATACCACGACGCACTTGGTGGAGACTTTTGTTTTCTTTTTATCGAGAAAGGCAACTGATAAAATGGATCAAAGGCTAACCTTTTCACAGGGAAGTGGTGGCACTCACTAAGAATTACTGGACTTTGCTGCAGGTGAAGGAGCCAGAGCAGATGACCTTTAAAGAGCTGAGTAACAATGGCAGGTCATTTCCATCCGAACTAGTTTATTGCCGTCATGGAGACTCGAACCTAGTAAAGTGTTTATTCTATCTAAAGAAGTCTATGTCTGCCATATTCTTATCAGCTAGTATCTTATCGCTTCCCTTTACATGTTATAAGATTGCGTAGGCTTCTCTATCTTCAACGCGTTCCTCTCGCCATTAGACTTTCGTGCATGCTTCGTTCGATGTCGGTCAACCTTTATTTATACCAATTGGATTGCCGAGCTGTCGCCGGGAGCTACTCTTTCCATGTGTCTGAACGTGTGATAACGATGTGGAACTCTAAGAATTTAATAAAAAAAACCCGCAAAACAAAAGTCTCAAAAGTGCTCTAAAATATATCTTCTCTTGCAATATTTCGGTGCGTAGCGCCTTCGTCAGGCCTGAAATTATTTAGCTTGTTTTCAGTGGATATGCACCTTCTACAAAATTACAACTCGCACGGACTCCTCTCCCACTCAACTACTTACCTTGTTGTCCCGAAATGACATAAAATTGTATAAACATGAATGCAACTGTTAAGCGTTGATGTCATTATGTGCTAACATTTGACCTGGGTTCCAAAAAAAGCAGTGAGGAACAACCCTGCATCTGGTAGTGAGGTCAAAATGTACATTATTTATTTATTTATTTATTTATTTACAATGCATCCATAGGACGCGCTACAGCAGAAGTCATGAATTACGTTTATAGCAGAGGTATGAGCAAGAAAGAAAGTGATGAAAAGAAGAGTTCAATGCAGTTGCTGAAATAGGACAAAAAGGAAGAAGAAAGAGAGGAATGCTTAGCCAGTTAAGCAGATCTGAGCCCGATTTAAACTGATTGAGCTAGACAATGGAATGCGTTCACAAAATTGCGTGAAGTATAAAGTCATAACCGAACATGTTGGAAGTACTTATTTATCACACCCGCTTGCTTCAGTCATCTGTGATGAGGTGGTGCCATGTTGTTTATTTATCCATTTGTTCAAGAGCAAACAAATATCAAATTGATATTGAGAAAATGGCATAATACTCTGTAATCTTTTCCTTTACAATACCGTGAACTGCTTTCCTGATGGGAAACGTGTAAAAAGTCATCAGGTCAATTAAATCATAGGTTATATGTAAATTGTCACCGCGATCGTTACTGCAACCGAAAACCACATGTCCTACTTCTGTGCAACAAAGAAAAAAATTATCATAATGCCAATAGCATGTAAAATATCGAAAAAACAAATGCCTTGGTACCAGCTGTACATGTGGAAACGGTAAGCGAGAGGTGCTTGTAAGTATACTGTTAGGAGGACGTATTATATTTTTCTGCGTACGCATTTCATTGTCGTAGTTTGGCCTTGAAGTACCCCTAGATAGACATTCAAAGTGGTCCCCTGACTGTTAGAGTTGAAATGCAAGTATGACAATGATATTTCATACAATGTCGGTAATATCAAGCACTTCCAGAAGGTTGATTTTCTTGAGTGCATTTTTGAATTGCTTTGAGTTGGTAATTGTATGAAAATGCTGAGGTAGAGACCCTAGCCATTTAGTCGTACGGAGAATGAAACAATTGGTTCTTAAGTTTTGATGCCATCTGCCCATCTTGTGATTGTAGGTTTGAAATATATTTCTTCGTCCATTTGTTGGTCGAAAAACCCAGTATCTCGATGGCTTCGTAATTCACCTTTCAGAATCTTAAAAGCTAGTATTAAATCAGCTTGAATACGTCTGTAGAATAAGGTTTTCAAATTTAGTTCGTTAAGGCGTGCTCGATACGAGGGCAGGGCTTGCGGGTAATCATTGTTGGGATATGCACGGTAGTACAGAATTCTCGTGAATGTTCTTTGCACATTCTCGGATTTCTTTGCACATTTTGGATACCTTTTTTTAACGAGAGACTCCAGACGGGGTTGCAGTACTTGATTTGTAGGAGAACATCTGTCCGATCGATTTAAATCCACAATGAAATGTATGAATATTTCTGAACAGAATATGTAGCATCTTGAGAGCTTTGGTTGATATCATATTGACATGAAATGACCAATTAAGATCTTTTGTGAGATTGATACCTAAATCTTTGACACTGTTCAACCGCTCCAGAACTGTGTCGTCAGGAAAATGAATCTCCAGCGAGGTGGATCCGAGTGAGAATATATGGGTCTTTTGCTTGCTAATCTTGAGCCCCCACTCAGTGCAGCATTGCTGCATGCGACCAATAGCACTGTTTAGAAGCTTTTGAGCAATGTTTCGTTCACACCTTTCGTAGGCAATCGAGACTTTTATGTCATCAGCGTATGCAGCAACATTAAGTCTACTGTCATATTTGATGGTCTTTACAAGGTCGTTTGTATAAATAAGGAATAAGAGAGGGGAGAGATCCTCCTTGAGGTACGCCGGACGGGCAATTTTTATCAATTGATATATAGTCAGCAAAGCGAATATTCATTTTCCAGTTTGCAAGGTGTGATTTAAACCATTGAAGTATGTTTCCCTTAACTCCAACGCTTTCTAGTTTGATCAGAAGGCGGTTCCTGCATACGGTATCAAAGGCTTTGGTTAAGTCGAAGTAGATACATCTACTCCCTTTCCAAGATTGAGGGCCTCTATCCAGGTATGAGTGAAATCAATCACTGGTAGAAAACCAAACTGTTCATGAGGTATATATTGTTCTTTGATTACCCAATCTAGAAGGTTTTTGTTGATTATTTTCTCCAGTACTTTTAGAGGGGAAGGAAAGAATACTTATCGGCCGGAAGCAAGACACTTTGTTAGATTCATTGCCCTTCTGAATAGGTGTAACTATCGCATGTTTCCATATGGTAGGCACTTGACCTAGACTCAGAGAAATATTAAACAGGTGGACCATGGGGATAGCAAGCTCTTTAGCGAACTGCTTAAAGAATTATTGCGGTATTATATCTGCAGTTACTGAGAAAGAGGTTCAAGAGCCCGTAATTCTTTGAAAACTACATGCGATGTGATAACAGGTAATTGGAAGCATTTTGCTACATCAGGAGCCGTCATTTGATATTCATTTGTCAGTTGAACAAAAACGCTCTCGAAATAATCAGCCAAAGCTTCGCCTTTCTCTTTCCGGGTGATATATATTTTTTCCATCTAACCCTTCAGGAACCTGTTCCACTGGAGCATTATTGATGAACGTCTTTATTTGAGCCGGAAGCTGTTTTAAGTTACGGGTACCTCTAAGCTTTTTTATTCCATGTGCTTGGAAACGTTTTAAGTGGCGATCTAGATATTTATTGATTTTTTGATAGACAGCGGATTTCACAGGATGACTTATCTGGAAGAACAGTCTTTCTCGCTGTTGGAGTAGGTTTCTTATGTGGGCCGGGTAACTACACGTACGACCAATGATTTCTTTCAGGGGAACGAATGAATCGATAAGGTAGTGATGATATCGCAAAAACGTCCATATAATTCATCGATGCTTTGATAGTTATCAAAGATTTCATACCAGTTCATACGAGATAGATGATAAGCGATTACATCTTTGTTTGCAAGTTTAAAGTCTCGAATGAGGGTAGGACGTTCATCCCTGATGATTGTAGGCATGGTAAAGGCGACAGTGGTATGATCAGATGTAGAGAGCGGCGGCATTGCATAAATGTGGGAGATGCTGTCCTGTACGGAAAAGACTAGGTCAAGGATTTCTGCCCTCGCCAGCTGGGAAGTCAACAAATTGCACCAATGAGTCAAATAGAGTTAGGAACTTGCTTGCTGAGGAGGAATTCCTTTTCATCGACTAATCAACAAGGTTGAGATCTCCCAATGCAGCTGTGAAAATAGGTGTTGCAGAAGTCAAGTCATAAATGACTGATAACAAAAGGTCATCTTGGACGCTATTTGAATTGGGTGGGCGGTAAATAAGTAAGAAGACGATGTTTACGACTAGAGGCAAAAGGATATCAAAGCATATCACATCAGCGGCTAGGTTGTTGCATTTGAAGGAGATGTTTTCATAAAGCAGTAGGTTGTGAATGAGTACGCAAACACCTCCTCCTTTTCGCGCTGCCCGGTCCTTTCGGATGACATTATATGGGAGGTTCGAGCACAATTCAGAATCAGAAATGGAACTGCTTAACCAGGATTCAGTCACAAAAGCAATACAAGGTTTAACGCTGCTCAGAAAGTAATGAATAATTGGATAATTTTGTTCACCAAGCTTCTAGCATTTAATAAGCTACACGTGGGGGTCAACGGCCTGTGCTTGGCCCAGGGCGTATGGGAAAACCCCGGTTATTTGAGCGAGAACCATTCACCATTTAGAATGTCCGTTACTTTGGTAAGCTCTCCTTTATAAACAACGTAAATACGCTCACCGTTGTGCTTCTTTTGATTGAGTTCACGTGCTCGCCATACGTAAGCTCCTTGTCTTTCTCGCGCTTTTCTCTGGTCATCGATTTCCTCACGAAACATTCTTATACATTGGAAGCAAAAAGTGCGCAATGATTGCGCTCTCAATAGTATTTCAAAGTAGTGTCGACGAGGTGGAAGTATGCACTTTACAAGCCTGGGTTTTCCCTCAACAGCGTTGCCGATCCTATGTATCTCCACAGGACGCGTTTCGATGTCGAGAGCATCCAACAGGCCAGCAATGACTGATTCAGTGTACGCCTGACGCGAAGAAACAGGTAAATTTTTATCTGGTTCAGAAACACCAAACAGAAGCTGACCGCTGGCGCTTTTCTGCTTCTGTAAATTCTTCAGAGAAGCTCGGTAACTAACTTGAAAATTGGTTTAAGAGAGGTATGGCTTCGGGAGCCTTGTTGGCAAGAATATTCCTTATCTTGTCTAGCAACTGGACACTTTCATTCGATACGAGTGGCGAAGTTCCAACATTTGTAGCTGGTGGTGAAATAATACTCTTCTTTTTTGGTAGAGTTCGGCGGCTTAGGTGAGACCATCGTTTATACCAACCACTCGTGAGGAATGCAGATTATTTTATTCCTAGCAAATATGGCAGATTGGTATAGAAATATGAGAGTGAGGGCAAGAGATCCCTTTTGGATATACATGATTTCCTAAAGAATGCTGGGAGTGCGAAACTATTTTACCTAGCTGGTTATCAATTACCTTTCGGAGAGGAACAGTACTCTGCTGGTCTGCTGTTGGATTTCTTTTGGATCGAGATGAGCTAGATTCACGTCGACGTTTTCTTCCGGTCTCCGTTAGAGTGCTCTCATGTAAACTTCTCTCTCTCTGAAACGGAAACTGTGGTGAAGTCCTCTTGATTGCCATTGCTTGATGACTGCGTAGACGTCGCTGGAGATACGACTTTGACTAGTCTAATTCTAAGGATGGTTGGTGTACCTACGCTGTATACTGTAATCATCGACAGTGAATGTTCAACTGATCAAAGACATTTTTGACGCTTTAAAATTATTAATTATTCATTATTAATATTTATTATTTATTTATTTCATTAATTGTAATTATTAGCAAGAGCAAGTTTATTCTATCAAATGGGCTGGTTGGATTCAAGTTTAGGGATGTTCGCGTTTAACAATATAAGAATCCCGCGGACTCATCACAGCATTCATAATTAGGATTCGAATGGGAACTGGTAATTGGTGTTTCAGAAGTCTTACGAGAATCAAGAGGTAAACCGTTTCTCCTACGAAGTACAATATTTTCTTCACAAAGAGATATACGCTACAGCCTGACATCATCTAGTACCGTGAGCAAAAAGATGAACGTGATCTTCACACAATCTGGACTCATTTACTTTTCGTGTCCATAGCTCGCTATGGATTGCTTCAAGCTCTTTATGATAATCATCGACCGCCTCAGCGAGAGTGCACAATGCTCTTGCTTTTTTAGTCCACAATAATGCCATCGCTTGTTCTTATTCCAACAGTTTCTGTTATAATGGCGACTGTCTAAGTGCAACCAACATCGGAGTCCCCGTTCTCCTATGTCAGTAGACACTGGGCAACCGTCGGAGTAAAGCTGCCCCTTTTACAAGACAAAAGGAACAAACTGTCAAGCGTTCTTCGAGCCTCATTGTATTGAGCATGCGTATTCGTCTCATTCGGTAGGTATCGAATGCCCTTATGGAAGGTTTGTAATCTGCAATTCGGTCCTTTAACTTGCCTCTGTCCGCATATCTCAGGTGTTGCTCTTGTCGTGCCCTCTTCTTCTCAGTTGATGCGATTCCGTCTCTTCCGTTCTGGCTCTCTCTGACTGACAATGTTGTAATCTTGCATGAGGTCCAGGACGTCCACTTGGACAACTTCAGAGGCTAATGTCCTTTGCATTGGAATCGCCTCCATTCTTCGACGGTTCTTGACTTGTGATCTTTCCATGCTTACTACACACCGTTTTGACTCGACTTTCTAAGGAAGATGGCCATCATGCTCTTGGTTTCACACTAACACTCCTGCACTCTCATCCATATTGCGATTGTGACATCAGTCTGGAGATATACTTAAAATCCTCATTGGGAGGCTCTATCTGTTAATAGACGACCGTGTATTTTTTTTCCGATTCTCTGTGAAGGTCCGAGATCTTCTCCCTAACTTGGTCGGGCGTCTGCCATGACTTCATTCTCCTCCTGAATCTGCACCTCTATGATCTCTCTCTCTGTCTAATGTTCGAACTGATCGATGAATCGAGTTCCGTCCCTATGCAATCAGCGGTTAAAGCTGGTTCTAAGGATATTCCATCCTTGTCGCTGTCGTAAATCTGAGCTTAGGATCTCATTAGCGTGGTATTCGGACTCACTAGAAGATTTTATATCACGTATGACATGATTGTTTCAACAGTAATGTGAAGCATTCCATTGTATTGCATGTCTCAACGTGGAAATCTTCTGTGCGACTATTGCAGAGTGCTGTCTCCCTACTCGCAAGAATAAAATTCGTTGTTTCATGCAGTTTTGCACCGATAATCTCTTTTCGGAATTCACTTCTTGACAGAAGGGAGGACATTCAGTTGAACGCGCGATAATTTGTAGTGTAATTATGTGTTCCCTCCAGTAAGTGTGGTGCAGACCGACCGTCCACCAAAATGTTTTATTTAAGAACTGAATGGTCTTAGATAACAGTGAAATGACAATACTATCAGATAACAGCGACACAGTGATAATAGGTGATGACCAGTTTAACAAATAAATACGAGATTTACGAGCACTGACAAGCGATCGTCAGACGGCAGAGGTTGATCATCTTTCACTCTCGAAAGGGACTGAAAAGGGATAGTAGTTGGTTCATTGGGAGGTTGCCCCTTTCATATGGAGCGTCTGTGAGCTTTTTTTCTAGCTTGTTGTTAAGGTTGTCGTCAACCATCTGAATTGTGGACATGAATGACTTAATGCTCAACATTTTCCCTGCAAGACTGACCGAAGTAAGCCCATTTGCAACAAGACGTGGAAGCTTGAGCGATGCGTTATTATTCTATTAGATCCTGAAACATTCAGCTTGATCAAGAGAGTAGCTAGTTTTACGGCTTCACGACCAAGGCAGCTGTAGCTTATAAAAAGGGCTCAAACAACTGTGCCTTATCGCTACCAGTCTTTAAGGTTATTCTCATCACTATTCTTCACAGTTAATTATTACAACACGGCTATCTTGGTTCACTTTTCTTTATTGTATTGCGATAACTTCTTCCTACCTTCAGTCATGAAGCAAGTAAGCGCAACTGATTTTGATCCGGAATAACTGAAATAACCAGTATATAAAGACAATAACAAATAACCATAATATTAATAAGCAGGTATACAACTAGCATACCCTAGAATAGAATTGGCGAAATGCGCAAGTGTCCATCTAGAAGCCATTTGTGTTTGTTTTCCAAGTCAGTTATTCGTACCCATTCAAGTAGGACCTTTTTGTTGACATTTTCTTGGAAGATTTGCACTCGTTTTACATGAGTTGCATCCTAAAAAATAAATAGTAATAATTTGGAATAATTCATATCATTATAACAAACGAACAAGTACCGGAACACCAGAATATTGTCACAATGCTTCAATTGTTTACTTTGCTAGTTACTCAACAAAAATTGAATTATTCTTCGTCTAGTTCTGATTAAAAACAGTATTTATAAAAAGTGTATAACTCAGTTTGAATATACGTTCACAACTTCTTTGACAATGAACCTTAACACTTCCCTTCATTTTCTTCCTTTTTTCGTTGAAGACACAAAAACCTCTTACATTCCCTTAAATACAGGGCCATACCCCTTTAAAAATAGGGACTCTTTTGATAAGGTTAAACAAGTGGATACTAGCACAAGGGGGTAAGTACCACACCCTCAAAAGGTCTACAAACTCATTCAAGCTCAAACTCATTCATTCCTTCATTAAACAAAATAAGGCTTGCAAGTGCCTAGGGCAAACCCCTTTAAACTTCCCCCTAGTATGTGGGCTGGGCCCCTCAATTACTTCCATTACGGACCTACTACAACCAATTATTAGTGGCAACAATTATTATTTCAATAAGGTCTTTCACAAAAGGAAAGTAAACAAAATAATATATAACCTAAACAATTTCGATACTACTAATCGTGCAAACAACTGTAACCCAGGATGTAATAAATGTGACCTTATAGACAAAAAAGTTATATTATCTCAAACACCACAAAATTAAAAATCGCAGTAAAAACGTAATACATTGTCTTAACTGCTTAGAATGCGGACAACAATATGTGCGCTTGACCACAAGAAAAGTGAAAGATAGAATAGGTGAACACACATACCATATAAATAAAAACAAGTATATTTGACAAGTATATTTACAAATGTTTCAATGATAAATGCCGTAAGAAACTTTTCTCCTTCATAATCCCTTCATTTTATAAACCAGTAACTTTGTGTGTCGGTTTGTATGTATGTATGTATGTATGTATGTATGTATGTATGTATGTATGTATGTATGTAAGTATGTATTGTCTGTCCCCCTCTCTGCTTCTTCCCTGACGCTGCTCATTGCTGGGACTGAAGCACCGTGCAGTGATAAGAAACAGAGCCGCGGAGAAGGGGGGTCGTGAAGGGAATCCGCCGTGAGGAGGCGTGCTTAGGCGCCACGCTCGAGTTGAAGCACGCAGCACAGCAAAGATGAGAAAGCAAACCGCTAGGAAAATTCGCACAAGCTTAATCCATAATCCAATGCACTAGGATTTTTTTGATTGTGAATACCCTCACAGCATATAAGAGAGCCATTTAGCACACTCCGAGCCATTGCACGCGTTGCTCGCGTGCTAGCTGGACGTGAGCTGTCATATTACATGCGGAGGCTGGGATGGGGGGGGGGGCTTCATGGGGAAGACGGTGGGGCGAGGGAAGTGAGGTTAAAAGGCTGCTTGCGTAGCAGCTGGACGTGAGGTAGTGGGGCACGGTAATTGAGGACAGGGGCGAGGGTCAGAAGCATTAGTGAAAGCGACAGTTAGAAGAAAGGAAGATCGACCGCTAGGCAATCCATAATGCTATCAGCGGTGATGTTTCGGATGTGAAAACACCCTGGACTTTATAAAGCAACCATTTGCTGTGTTCTGAGCCATTGGACCTACGGCTATGTGGCAGCTAGACGTGAGCGCGTCCAGTGGGTCAGGGTAGCGAAGGGATTGGGGTGGGATGGGTTGGTGGAATAGGATAACGTAGTGTGCTTGTTATCCGGATAACGTAGTGTGTCGTTATCCGAACGTAGTGTCCGGACAACGTAGTGTGCTTTGATAGAACATACCGGACATAGAAGCATTAGTTGAAGCGGTTATTTGAAGAAAGGAAGGGTTCGCCGCTAGCAGAGCTGCGAACCAATTCATGATGTGGTATCAATTTAAGGTAATGATTTGAATGTGAATACTCGAGTAAAGGATCGCTGGGAGTTATGAGGAAAAGAGCGATATCACTGTCGTGTCTGATATGGGGTGTCGCGAATTAACACAGACATTAATTGCTTGAGTTTGG